AAAAAAAAAAACACTTATTAACAACGAAGACTTTAAATTCGTTAATTAGCTAGTGCGAAAGCTTTGTATTTGTATGTATTTCTCTTGTTTTATTTTCCTTTGGTATATAAGACCTAAAATAATTTTGTAAAAACATATATAAATTTGCAGTTTTTTTTTTCTTTTTTTTTTGGCTTTTTTATTTTATTTTTTTTATTAATTGAGATGAAATTCCTCAAAAACAAAGACATGTAATTACATTTATACAAGTACACCTACGTGTTTGAGTCGTGAAAAGTGCATCTTCAATGTTGGAAAATCAATTGTTGGTGAGGGTACGTGTCATGTAGCCTTTATGTTTGATGCAAGTGTGTTGTGCATTTCTTGGCCAATTGGGAAAGAAAATAGCATGTGAAGACTAGACTGATATGAGAAAAATCCACTTATATATCATTATCGGATGCGTTGAGCTTAAGTGTCGGACCTAGTGTTTTGAAATTCTATGTGATAAAAAATGATGCTTTATAGCTAAGTTTGAATAAAAATTACTATTTTTATTAAATAATAATTAGGTTTGCATTTTTTCTTTTGTTCGAAACGATAGATGATATATAACAACTCAAAGGGAACAATGTTCGAATACACATATACACAATCACAAGAATAAGAAAATGAGAGGACACGCTTATAAGCGGCCTAGAGACCAATAATTGGGCCAAGACAACAACTAAGAACCCCACAATAAACCAGAGAGAAATCAAACCACTATTGAATGCCTAGTTGTGAACATCTCTCTCGAAAGGACAAAGACACTGCACCAACAAACTAAAGGAACTAAAACAACAGAAAAACATAAAAAACATAACCAAACTATACAGAAGAAAACTCTAGCCATTCTTTAAGAGCTCCACTAAGTACTACCCTCTCCGGGGGCTTCATCCCTTGAAACTGCCACAAGTTCTCTGCTCTCCAAAGCCACTAGAGAATATAGGTTATGAGTTGTATCCTGGCTTCTAGTACCTCGGTCTTACCAATAGTAAACTCCTTCCCACTGAATAGGCCATGTCTCCCAAAGTCTTTTACCCCTTGTGCAATGAAAGGAAGTATGTTCTAATGTTTCAGGTTCTTCACCATAGCCCAGGCATACAACATCAATATCCATGCCTTTAGTTCTCAGGTTAGCTTTTGACTGAAAGAGTACATGAGCAGCACTTTCATAAGAAGTGTTTGAGCTTACCATTGACTTTCAGCCTCCATATTTTACTTCTAGCTGCTTTAGTGAATTTTGAGTTTAAGCTGTCTTCTGGAATATCCAACTCCTGCACTTGCCCATTGATTAAAAATTGGTAAGAGGAAGAGACTCTGAAATGGCCTTTTTTCTCCAAGCACCTATACTTTCTGTCAGGCCTGCGAGGATTGAGAGGTGAAATTTCCAGTATAGGCTTGCTATCTTCCTCATCAAACACTAGATTTACCAGCCAAGTGTTCCAACTGAGACCATCACTGCTCAACAGATCTTTGACCCAAATCAGATGTTCTCTAGCAATAACTACAAGGCTTGGCTTCAATTTTAAGAGATTAGGCACCCAGTTAATGTCCTCAATCCTTGTATTTTTACCATTTCTTACCTCTGTTCTGAAACCTCTTGCAAACATAGGGACAATATCCAACCAACAATTCCATAACCATGAGCTGTTTTGAGTTCTCACTGCCTCAAATATTGAACATGATAGAAAGTACCTTATTTTCAAAATTCTGCTAACAAGAAGTTATTGTTGAGAGGTGATTCTCCACAACTATTTACAGATAAGAGCCTCATTAAAAATCCTTAAATCCTGAAAAACCAGTCCACCTTCTTGTTTTGGGATTATCATGGTATGCCAAGATTTCTAGTGTGCTCCTCAATCTTGATTCTCCCTCTTGCTCCACCAAAATTGAGCACACATTCTGGAGATTTCTTTCCTTACTAATACTGGTAGTTTGAAGCAGGCCATGGTGAATACTGGAAGAGCATTCAGAACTGCTTCGATTAGTACTTCTTTTCCTGCTGGGGACAAGAGTTTATTTTGTCAGCTTGTTAGCTTGGCGCTGACTGCATCCACCAGAAACTAAAATGCCTTATTTTTTACTTTCCTACCCCAAGGGGTAGACACAGATATCTGGTTGATTGGTGCGATCTGATGTCTTACAGTTTCTGACAGATACTGAGCTGAAGGTTAGTAGGAGAGTTCTTACTAAAGTAGATAGTGGACTTCTAGAGGTTAACTCTCTGCCCTATAAAGAGTCTGTATTGCTCCATGGTGTTTATGAGGACTTGGGCCTGATCCACCCAGCCCTACAGAATAATAGTACATCATCTCAAATAATAAATGTGAAATGCTGGGTCCCTCCCTTGAAAGTTTTGAGCCTGTCAA